TAAGAGCTTGAAAAGTGAAAAAACAAGAGCATTTAACATTGTTACAATTTTCCCTTGAGAGCTAATCTGGACTTAAAAGTAAAAGGAGGCAAATCCTTAACTTGTCTACTCAAAAAACATTAAGTGCTGATTATTTTGTTTAGTAGTGTCTGCTAGAAATGACAACAGTAGAAAGATGTTCCAAAGCTGCTGCTGGTCACATGCTGAATTTTCTTCATAAAAAGCATGCACACACAACTGCGAGCGCACACACACAGCAAATGAGGCAGGAGAGGACCCACATGTTCCATTAAAAAAATCTACCTGTTGGCATTTAAGCAGTCAAGACCAGTTTCTAAAACCAGTTTCAATATGCTCCTGCTATGCAATAAGGAATGACAGGAGAGTATATTTCAATAATTAATGCTGTTTCCCTCCCAGTTTGGCAGTTTTCTGGGTAACTGGCTACCATAAAAACAACAAAGCCAACCTTACCTGACAGTGTAGCCTCACAAGATTTTTAAAATCAATGGTCATATCATCATGATCAGAAAGATAGAAAGGGGGAGGGCAAGGAAAAGAAATATATCTGCTGCTTTCTATCAGCCAAAACCCAAAGCAAACATCAAATTAGAGCTGGTGTCAGAGTTAAAAACATGGAAATAACAAGTTTGACTAAAACTTGCAGAAGAGACATTCCAGCTCCTTTTTCCAAAGAAAGCTTCAGCCTCAGCAAACCTCACACTTGCGTACACAAATGCAGCAGCAAGCACACACCATGGCAAACAAGCAAGATGGAGAAAGCATCATTTTAGAAGTTTGACTACCTTTTTCCAGACACCACCTCCTCCTTATAGAAGAAGCTGCAATGCAAGAGTGTTAAGCCTACCGAGCCTCGACTCCGCCTTGTCCTCATGCTATGCTTTCCACTAAGTCCATCATCTTCCTCTTTGACAGGCTTAAACATAAAGGGTGGAGGGTCTACAGGCTTCTCAATGGGTGGCAGCTCTCCGTATTTTTTGAAGTGAATGCGACAATCAGTGCACAATAAAATGTTTTCTCGACCGCCGTGGTGCCAGTCCTTGGAGGCTTGGGACAGGAAAAGCAACAGCTTAGAAACACACAATGTACCAGACACTCAGCATGAGCACACTGTATTATTAAAAAAAGCACATGACAAGTAGAAAAGTAGCTGCTTTTCTACAGGTAACAAAGTTGGAGAAATTTCTGGAAAACTTCGTCCTGTTCCAGGCTTCATCTGTGTTCCAGTGCATATCTTTAATATTCAATTTACAAACTGTTTACTTAAGCAACTACAGCTTTGAAAACAAAGAAAGAAGCCTTATCTGCTCTACCTGGGAGGCAACAAGCAGCTATTATTCTCCAAAGCTATGGTTTCTTAACGTGACCTACGAACTTCTCATCTCCTTCTCTTCCCTATTTTGTAGCTCACACCTCCACGCCACGCATATGCCCAAATAGGGGACAATCTTCAGGAATACCTACAGGAATGGGGCTGCTGCAGAAGAGATTTGGCGCAGCATAAAGAAGTTCTGTGTGTGACAGTCACAGTTCAATATTGATTTGCTGTATCACAAATTGATTCTATAGATTATGGATTATGTAGATTTTTTGCCTGTATAAATGTCTACCTCTCAGGATTCTCCTTTGTCCCTGCAGTATTAATTTGCAATGGAAAAGCATGATTAACTCTACTAGGAATGCTGCATATTTTAGCTGATTCAACCCCACGGTTTTTTTTGAACAGCTGTACATGCACACAAACTGCTCTTGCTCGAATGAACCTGCATTAAACAGCAGAAGCAGGAAGGAGAGGAATACAGCAACGAATCAGGTGCATACTGGTTGTGAAGCAGTGACGACAGGCGTAGCCCTTCAGTTCCTGTTCGCTGTCCTCGCTGTCAAAGTCATCCTCACTGGCCGAACTCAAGTCCACTGAATAAGTAAAGAACAAGGGAAAAAGAGGAAAATGGAAAAGAAAAACTCAGCAGGATTTTCTATTTCCTCCTACTTGGCTAAAACAACCACTAATAATAATAATTCTCACATAAATTTTCTTACTTCCTACAACCACCTTGCCTTGGATGGTCATTATTTCCAATTTTGCAAACCAAGCAAGGCCAGACCTCATCAGTCTACAGACGGAAGGAAGATTCCAGGAACGTGTCAAATGATACAATTCACAGAACTTTTGATTCAAGTACATTGCACTTCTCCAATTAAATTGTTCTAATACTGTTCATGCTCAGTTAGAGAGGCTGTGTTCTAAAAGCATAATATTCAAGAGAAAGGAGGTTTATCTCTAGAACCTGGTCAAACTGAAAATCAAATATTCTATACCTAAATCCTACTTTACTAGATTCCATGGACAGATACTGTGGTGGCTTTTCTGGTTTTTATTTTGTTTCCAGACTTTATCTTCTAAACCAGATGGAGACTGCTGTTATGCTCTGTTAGGCAGTGGCTATATTTAACCCAAGGGCTAGATGGTTTTTTGTGGGTGGAAGAAACAATGCTTACATACAGTGTACTTGTTTGAAAAACATGTTGTGATTCTTTTGGATGAGAGGTACTACAAGGATACTACCAGCTTTCCAATCCTTACTGCAAGCCTCCTTAAGAGTTTTAACCCGTGGCAAACTTAAATTTCGAGAATGTCACATTTTGAAGTAGTAGATAATATGGAAAAGGTCATTTTCCTTTGAGGCAAGCAGCATACAGCAAACTAGTCGATTACAAGGCTCTGAGCTAAAAAGCACCATATCAAAACCACTGAAAATGTGCAGACATGACAAAAACTGTATCTTACCTCATCTTCTGAAACAACTCAGGAGTAAATCCTTTCTTATTGAGAGCACTGCATTTTTCTAGCACCACCACCATAAATTCACAACATAACAGGTCTATAATTTGCCACAAACAGAAAGCCCTATGGCTTCTTTTGTTCACATCTTTAATTAGAACAGAACTCCTTCACACAAGAATACTGTTTTTCTAAAGGTTCCAAGAGGATATTGTGTAATACATGCAGGTTATAGAGAGGGAGGGATTCTACAGTACTTGCCATTTTGTCCATCATTGACTCATTACCCTTCACATTAACACAGGATCCCATTTAATAACAGCAGCCGCTTGCACTACCGTAACTTCTACATTAATTCTTGCAAGTGTTTAAACCCTGACTGCAAAATTGACACCAGGCTAGAACTTCCTTTCTCTCACTGAATTGATTTTTATTCCCATCCTGCAGTCGGATCCATATGGACGGGTCCTTCCAGCCACATGCCCTTTGAAGCGCTGAGTATCTTGGATCAAGCTGTAGTCAGGATCCTCACTTGTTGTGCACACAGAAATCAGCAATAAGTCCTACCAATTTCAGCAAGGAGAAGCTGATAGCCTTTTCTTACTACCTCACTAATACTCTCTCCAGAATTCTCTGTCCTGCCTGTTCACCACATCCTCTACCTCCCCCACATTAATAAGTCTGCCAATTTCTGCCTTCCAGATAGTCCCTTTTCTTTAGAGGGCATGTGAAATGTGCTGGGTTTAGTCAATAGAAAGAGTTAAAACTCACAGGATAACATAAGCCTTTTACATAAGGATAAAAGTTTGTATTTCCATATGGATATTACTAATGACAACCCTTTGCAATGCAGTATATTTCACTGGTTTGGGTAATTGTTCTTTGTTTAGACACTTCTGCTTCAGTTAAGGCTGAAGTTCTACGATGCATTAACGTACAACAGTGCTGGCTGCAGCACACAGTCTGAGACCAAGCAGAAGGTATGGGTCACCAAGTAGGGATGAAAGAGACTTCCTTCCAAAGGGATGATGGACTTCCTTCTTTCTGCATTTTTTAATTCCCATTACTGTAACAAGCTTGGAGAAAACAGAACAGAAAACCAAGCAAAAAGTAGAGAAATTCAGTACCAGGGCAACGTTTCCATCCTTATAGGATGCTTTTGTGTGTAAGAACTGCAGAAAGCACTTGGTGATCAAAGACGCCTACCACATTCCAGCATAATGGCACAGGAACAGGAGAGGGCAACTGCCTGAACTCCGTTTCTTTGCTTCATTCACTTGAAGGTACAGCACCATTACATTACTGTTGCTCCCTGCATCTAAACAAAGATAAATGCATTGCTTTTAGCTTCCACTTACAGAATTCACTGGAGGGGGGCCTGGAGGGTGTGTTGACTGGAGTGGAAGCAGTTCGAGTTTTAATTCTCCGAAACACAGCCTGCCTTCGATGCCTACGGTGGGCTCGAGAACTTGCTGCTTCAGGGGTTTTCTTCCAATAGTAATAGAAGGTGATTAGTTCTCCCTGCAAATAAGAAGGAGTATGTTAGAGGGGCATGCAAATCTGACTCATCAGCTTTTTCCCTCCCTTTTGCTCTCTGTATGCGTTCACACGTATTTTTGTAGGAAGCTTCATGATATATTTCAGCCAGACAAAAGAATTCTTTAGATAAGACAGAAAAAAATCCTCATCATTTTTTGTTTGCCTTTGCAGGGGAGGAACAGAAGTAAGTAAATTCCTTCTCATTCCTCTCCTCCTCCAGTAGAGGAGAAAAGAGGTTGGGCAGTAGGCACCCAGCCTCCACCGGGATGCTGCCAGCAACTCGGAAGAGGGTGCCCTTGCCTTGCTGTCAGCGTCCTGCAGACACCCCTGCACAGCATCCGGAGAGGTACCGCCTTTCAGTCAGCTGTCAGAACAAATAACTGATAACTGCTAAGAATTCTCTGATGTTCACACGAAGAATAAGGATTGACTCAAACAGATACTGCCACTTCATCAACCTACATTCTGTGTACAGATATTTTAAAATACTCCTGTTTGAGAAGCTGAAAGTTAGAATAAAAACGCGTTCAACAAGAAGTCTATAACCAGAACTCAACCCTACTACAGTAAACCATGTTTTAATTTGAATATATATGCCCACATCTAAATTAATTAAGCAGTTAAAAGAGCACACCTAGAGAAATGAGTGATCATTTCACAGAGTAATGAATCTGGCTTACATTCAAAAACTGCAGCAGCTGCCATTCAAAGTAGCGGATGTAACGCCGAACGAAAGAACAGCATGTGGTTTTAATCTCTTTTCTCTTACTTTGAAACCCCATCATTTCCTGGCGACTTGTCTGCCTCTAAGGTAAAAGGTGTTGTTTCAAGTTGCAAGAGAAAAACGGTGAAGTTCTAACCAGCCCCTTGAAAAATCAACATCAGAACAAACATACCTGAATTGCCCACAAAATGCAGTTCAAAGAAACCCTTTTTATGTGATCAAATAACCTAACCTCAGCCTGCTCCCTCTGTGGGGAAATCCTGCAGCCTGTACTCGGGGCAGATCACTCAAATTAACGCTAATAAAGACACACCCTTAATCCAAACTCTCCCAAGGGCCTCAAACAAGCAATTACAGCCATAACCAACATCTGTACCACTGGAACACTTGAAAGACAAAAGGAGGATGTTCTAGATATTAACTGCTAACATTTAAGGCACTTAAAGAATTTTACCAATGCTTAATTTAAAAATAGAAACACCAGAAAAAGACCACAATCACAACTTCGATTTCTGGCAACAGGCAGAACAGATGCATTTTTAATCTGCACTGCTACAGACTGGGATCGATGCTACTGACCTCCAGCACAGACCTGGACAATATTCATGCCAAACTGTATTCAGAGTGATACTTGGTGAGCCAGAGGAAGACAAAATTGTCACCTACAAGTGTCAATTCTGAAGGACAAAAACCCTACTAAAAAAAAAAAAAAAAAATGTATAACCCTTTCCTGAAAAGAATCGAAAACTAAAATGGGTGCACTCAAGCTACGCCAGATCTGGGAAGCACAAAGTTCTGACACCCAGCACCCGGCTCTGCTACTGTATCTTCAACTGGGCGGGTTTGCATTAGAAATAACGTTTTTCTCGGAGTCCATCAGGTGGGCTCAAAGTCCATCTGGCACAACTGTTTGTCAAACTGAGGACACCACCTGTGCCAGGAGGCAGGCGAAGCTCTGCAGAAAAGCTTATGCAATGTTTTTCAGAGACAGAAAGTCTCTTGCAAATGAAACCGGCCACGTTTTACCTATAAATTCATTTATATCAAATCTGAGGTGTCAGCCACAAGGAGCAAGTCAGTAAATCCCATGTCTTTATGTCAGTGAATTAATGTGTCCTCTGACACACAGCATCAGCAGAGTGCAAACCAATCTGTTTTCCTCCCATCATAAAATAGGAAACGGGAACCTATTTGAGCTCTATTTACACATCGCAAACCCATCAGGTCCCAAGGGAAGTTTAACCACTAACACATGTACTACATCATAAACCTAACTTTAAAAAAAGAAATGGTGTCTATTCATAAAAAAGACTAACTTCATGATCATAATGCTTTTTTTTCTGCGACTCTCCCAAAACTGCAGTCACAACTGCATTCAGACAAAGATGAAATAGACATTTATTCGACAACTAGTTTTATCCCGTCTATGAAATGTGGATATATTGAGGACTAGAGAATATCCTGTACTTCACATTCATCGTCAGACGGCACAGCGACATGACTCAGTAAATGACTCAACTGTCTGACAAAGATGGAGAAGTGAAAGTCAGAGAGGAAGCACACGCAGAGAATGTTAATGTTGAACACATACACACAGGTTAGACACGTACTACATCGAAAAAATTCCATGCCAGATCTTGTTAGCTGCCTGGCTATCCAATATTATATTGTCTACCTAAGGGATTAAATGCTGGAGTGGAGTGAGCCTGGAAGGATTAGAAACAGCATACTGGTGACTGCACGGGTGGCAGAGCTTCAGCACAAAGGAGTTAAGTCGGGAAAGCTTTGGTTCTCCAAACAGGGAGTAAAAACAGCTTCCAGCTTCACTGCAAGTGAAGTCAAATGAACTTTAATCAAACATGCATAGTGCGCGCTGCCGAAACCCATCGCACATAAATTCAGGGAACAAAAGCTGTTGCAGAAATCAATAGCCTACTGAAACATTAACACAGGCAAGCATTGATCAAAAGGCCCTTTTACAAAAGGCAGCCTTGCAAATTAGCTGCTGTTTTTGCTTGCAAGCAAACAGAAAGGCATAAAGGCTGCTGACATGAATGGCCTGTAATGATCATTTTGTTCCTGGCCATCTCACCTCACCACAAGGTCTCACAGTCAACACATCCTACATCTCTGCGCTCTAATTGCGAACAGCAGGACGAACAGAGGCAGTCTGGTGCTTGTTCACTGGGGGGGCTGAGAGCAGCTGCTCTGAATCTGATTTTCTGGGTAGCAGGTCTGCACCCATGGGACTAGTCCTAACCCAACCACCTGCAAATATATTGGATGTCTCTTTTGAAGTTTGTTTGTGCCAGGAACTGGATATTGCTAACAATATATGCAATAAAATCACGCGAGATAAAGAGGACTGAACTGCTCTTCGTTGCATCAGTATACTTATTCAACTTAAGAGTGACATCCACCTCATTTCCAAACTTCAGAGGTAAATTAAGGAAGGGGCAAGACCATAAAGGCAACTACAACTTGCAGTGAGGTTTCTGGCTGATGGTGGAAGAGAAACTCAAGGATTGCAAGCCAATTTCAGGGAGGGCTGAACCTGCTCCTTGAAACAGTGACCTTGTTCATCACTCTCTAATCCAGTTTAGTAGTCTGAAGTGCACAGACCATCCAAAGTTAGGAAGAGACCCTCCATCTGCTTCTGTTGCCCTCTTCTCTTCCCTGCACCCAGTAACGTGCTCCTGTTTAATCAAGCTCTGGGACCACCAATAAAACCGACTTTAACAACCACTGCAAAGCCTCACAAAGAAAAGATAAACTTCAGCAATGCATGGCCCAGCTTGTCACCATTTTGAATGTGAAGTAGCAAATTTTTATATGGCTGCACATACATGGATGACCCATAAAGCATATGCAAATGAGAAACATTGAGTGTTCAATGAAGCAGTCCCTCATAGCACATACAAAACCATTCTTCAGCAAAGCTCCTGGTCTAATGAATCAGAGCAGTTGTAACATTCCAGATGTTTGCTGATAATATAGGCAGTATCTCGAGGCAACTGTCCATCAGGAAGGGTTTCCATGTTCAAGTTGTTGCTTCTTTCACAAAAACTGTTAATGGGCTGCCTCCTGTCCCCAAAATCCAACTCATCTCTCAGAATCCCAGACACTGATGTTGCTAACAATTGTCCATTTGTATCACTTGCCAATAAATCCATTATATTAGAAGAAAAGTCTCAATAAAATGACCCACATGTCTATTCCAACATCACCCCTCAAATGAGCAGCTATGATTCCTGTACTGTGCCACATCAAAGAAAGATGCTGTTACTACCCTCCCAGATCAACTCCATCAACGAACAGCTTTTCCCATCAGCGTGGGGAGAAGATTCATTTCTCTCCCAATCTGTTTAGTTGTTCACAGTAACAGCCTCACCTCTACTTGATACAATGCCACCTCCCTTTTCTGCAAACACAACCCCATTTGTCTATGTTAACATCGGATTAACTGTCCCAAGCGACTTATCAAACACACATAAAGCAAAATGAGAAGCATTGTCCAGGCTTTTAACGCCACCTTTCCTCGAGAACATCTACTTTCCCATTACTGAAGTTTCACGAGACAGAGGGGGATACGTTCTGCACTAAAAACTACCATTCAGCTTTCATCAATTTTGACACACATCCAGAGCTCACAACTCCAATCTCTCACCTTCTCCTGCCAAGGCCGTTTCACCCCATGTTGTAGGTGCACAGAAAAAAGTCATGCTTCACATCTCCTTTTAGCTCTGTTGTAGGAATTATTTTTAAAGAGAAAGAAACAGTTCAGATCCACTCCTGCAGGAGCACGCAGCAGTGAGACTTTCTGCACGACTCAGTGCTGGAGACTGAGCTGGCACAAGAGCCTTTGAGTGCCCACAGCCCACATCCCCCCTAACCCACCTCTCCTGCTTGCACTGCACAGGCCATCTGCAGTTATTAGGAGATTACTTCCTCAGCATGTGGCATCTCTTACCTCTCCCACCCTTTTCGCCCACTCCTCTCACCCATATTTTTCTGTAGCTCAGCGAAGCTCTCCAAGCCACATCACAAAACACCAGCACAAGCCTTACCAATTCTTCCATACCCTTAACAAACTACCATGAGCCCAGTACGTGGTGCATGCCCTGGCTTCTCACTTATCAGTAATTTTCAAATGTAAAATACACAACACAAGCTGTGCCTCATGTTTGTGTTTAGTCTTGCCTTAGGTAAACAAAGGATTAACAGTGTGTATGCATTTCTGGATTTGAGAGGTTCTGAC